AAAACTAACTTTTTATTTTAAAATAAAATTAAACTGATAGTTAATAGATTGATCATTGATTCCATTAATAAATTCTAATGCCTGAGTGACTTGGAGATCAACAGATGTGGCAAATGTCTATTCGCTCATTTTCTTCAGTTATTTTATGACTAAATTATTAATTGATCCCTGCAGTTAATAGATTAAAAGCATTTTAGTCCTCTAATTTCCTATTATTAAAATTTTAGCATCTAAACCTTTTAAAAGTTTAGGGTGTATTAGAAATGTTTTATATCAAAATTTAAAAGATGCAACTTCTTGACAACATTATCTCAATACGTTTTGACTTACTTCACATTCTATTACTGTCTCTTCATTTATCATTATATATCTCTTTTTATCTTAATTTGCTTCTATCTTCCATTATTTATATTAGAAATATATTAAATCAAAATATAAGTAACATAACTTTTTAACATTATTTTTTTAATTCTTTTTCAATTACCTTTACACCTTAAGGTTGGAATCTTGAACTCCAATTCAAAAGTTATTTTCAACTATTGTCATCATAATTCTCCTTTTGGTTCTCTTTTTCTCTTTTTTTTTTTTTTTTTTTGATAAGAGAAGTTTAGTATTAGCAGTCCTAATAAAAATCTTAACAAAACTTCAACACAAAATTTATTTTACTCAATTTTATATTTGTAATATCCCAAAAATTTGGGGTATTTTAGCATTTAATTGGGGACTTATTTAAGGAAACATATTATTTTGGGGCTTAATAGTCAAATTTTAAAAAAAAAGTTGAGGGACTAAAAAGAAAGGAAATTAGGATAAGGATCAAGGCTGATGTTTCTCTCCTCATCCACGTGTTTTGCTCTTCCTCATCTTCTTCTCCTTCTCGACTCTTCCTCCCGACAGCCCCCTCCAAGCCCTCTAGCCACCAACTCTTTTCTTTGAGAAAATTGGTGACCAAACTTGGGATTTTCTCCTTCTTTTCTTGATAAGTAACGAGATTTGGGGCTTAGAATTCTCTCTCTCAACCCAGAAATCCCGGATCTGCTCTGTTCTTCTCCCTTGTCCGTCGGGTTCTGCTGGGTTTGAATCCTTCGGCTTTTTCTGGTAAGAAGCAGCCATGAAATTCATCCTCTTTAGCTTTGATTTGGCTTGGGTTACTCTAATTTCTGTTTGGTTCTTGAATTTGGGTTAATTCCGTGAGCTTCCCCTGCACTTGCCGTCGGCTTCCTCACCAGCCAAGCTCGGGTTCTGCTGGCTGGAATTCTGGTAAGTTTCCGGCTTTTCCAAGCTTAAAATTACCCATTTAATTGTTGGGTTTTGTCCATTAAGTGTTGCCCTGTGCTTGCCCGAATTTTTGCTAAAATGGGGGAGGAATTCCGGTAGTATTTTAAATGTGTTTTAAGCTTGATTAAGTAGAATTTAGCTTGAATTAGCTGTTGTGATGTTTGTGTGAAAATCCTGTGTGTGTAAGTGTGGTTTGCCAAAGCCATGCTCTCCTGCCCGTGAGATTGGGGAAATTTTGGTAGCTTTAAGCTATGTTTTAAGTGTGGTTAAGTAAGAAATTAGCTTGAATTGGGTTGTTGTGATTTTGGAGAAAAATCCTGTGAGATTAGTTATTGTTTTGCCAATTTTGGGAGTTGAAGTTACTGCTCATGAGGTACTGTTCATAGGTTACTGTTCACACCC